TAAGAAAAATATCCATATTTACAACTTTATAAACCGTAATCTCTAGCTTCCGCTAACTGTCGTACGTGCGTTCACGAGAGAGTGGCATTCCAGCAGATGACGTAGGAGTAGTGTAAGCTCTAGTGAGAATATGTTAGTCTCATGAGAACCAAGTTTTGTTTACAGCACTTCTTATGATGGATGGATGCACTTTATTTAGCTTCAAAATCTCAACACCCATTCACTGCCAGTATAAAACTGGGAAGAGCCAGGACATTTTTAATATAACTCCGATTATATTCATTCTTCTTTGATCACAAATCTCATTTATGCTCACTTTTAGTTTGAAAAGGATGCCTTTGAAATGACGAGCGTTAATAAATAATGACAGAACTGTTTCTTTAATTAAAGCCGCTTAAGAGAGGCGCTGACTAAGAGAGACTGAGTTATTGTGTCATGATTAACTCTCTCCCACTTCTACCTAATTAATAATACAAACCCACAACTAATCAGTTCTCTCTTAGAAATGCATTTTATGGTCCCTCACATGCAGAAAAAAAAAATCACAGATGAGATCTTTGCAAAATATCACTTATTTCTCCTATATAAGATCAACAGAGACTAGACAGACTAAATAGATGACAAAGTCCTGCTTCTCATATCTTTCTCAGCACAAATGTTAATTATTATTATTTTATATAACAACAGTACAATTACAATACAGATATTTATGGTTAATTTGTTTGCTTTTTTTTTGCATTTACAAATGCACATTATAAGTGAGTCAAACTCACAGCACTTGCAGAGATAGAGTTCATGTGGAGCCGCACACAGCACGTCAAATTATATATTTATATGACTGCAACACAGTCTTTGATAATCGTGCTAAACCATAGTGCATTCTCTGGCATTGTTAGAATTAGTATACTAGTTGACATATACTAGCCAACACTGATTTTTACTCACATGTGGGAGAGTAGGGTTTCAGAAAAGATCTGCTCAAGATACAAAAGTCTGCGATCAGAAGTCAGAGATCTCAATGTAAACGTAAACATTTCTCATTAATGATCTGAGCTGCTGTTCACGTTCATTTTATAGCACTACACTCTTACTAGATAAAAACTAGTGACTCATTTGTGTCGTTTTCCTAAAGAATAGCAGGAGAAACATCTGAGACGAAGTTGATACTTAAACTGAGAACTCCATTAAGCTACAACAGAGCAATCTCTGAGCAATAACACTGTCCTCTATGTGTGCAGGCAGGGGACAGTCGGCGTGTGCTGCACGCGCTGCGCTCCCTGCTGGAGGAGTTCAGGGCGGAGCTCCGCGAGGAGGCGCAGCGGCGCTGGCAGCTGCAGCAGACGTTAGCCAACGAGAGAGCGGCGTGGGAGATACAGCGCGCTGAAATGAGGAGTCATGTCACCAGGGTACAGAAACAAACCTGACATCACAGCAGAATCACCTGTGACAGACAGTACAGCACCTCAAACCTGTTGCAAAACCGGACTGCTGTCTACATAGGCAGCTACCTTCTCAGACAGCATCCCAACAGACATGGAAACTCATAAGTGACTGAACTAAAAAACGCTCTACATCACATCAACTCTATTAATGGTCACTCACTCGTTCATGAGTCACATATATAAGCACAAACTAATATATATGTGGAATAGTTACTTTTTAATAAAATTGAATTTTTAACTGCATTAAAAAAATGTATAGAACAATTATTTAATTTTATAGTTAAAAAGTGTTTTAAAAATATAAATAAAAATATTTAGCTTAAAAATATTTTAAACTAAATGATTTACTCTACCATTAAAAAGGTTAGGGAAATTAGAAAGAAATTAATACATTTATTCATCAAGGAAACATTAAAATTATCAAACGTGACAGTAAAGATGGATAAAAAGCTTTGGATAAAAGCATCTGCTAAATGACTAAATAAAAATAAATAAAGACATTTTTAATGTTAAAAAAAAACGTATTTCACATAAATGTTGTTCTTTCTTTCTGTTCATCAAAGAATCCTGAAAAATAAAATGTATCACCGTTTCCACAAAAA